ACATGATTCTGAGCCATCGTGTGGTGCTGGAAACCAGACCCAGGTCTTCAGCAGGAACAAGAGCTCCTCACCTCTGAGCATGTCTCAAAGCCTTCTGAGGCAAGTTTCATGACAGTAATTTATTCCTCTCAGGAAGAAAAAAACCAAAACTAGGGTAGAATGGCTCAATTGCTTAATTCTCTTCTTCTAATCACTTAGTCTAACCCATTGCCTTCAAGTAACATTGACGACTTAAACAGAGTTTTAGGATTTATTTTTGTTTTGTGAAAGTTGTTTTGGCATTTTCCCACTACCCACATGTTAACCACACCTTAACTGCCTAAGGTACCCTTTAAAATAAGTCCATTATTTATTGTCTTGTCCTCCCTGTTTTTTTCCTGCCCCAGAGTTTGCACCTCCCCATCTTCCTGCTTTTCTTGCCCTGTAAAAAACTCACCCACATTTATAAAATCAGCCATCTTCCTGTTCTGCATGCCCACCTTGTTATCTAGCAAATAGAACCCTGCTTCACCCCCACCTCAGTGAGCTGGTTTTCTTCCAGTCAGTCATAATGAAAGAGTACCTCACCATTGTGTGCACAGAAATTATACTTTATATGGGACAATGAGGCCAGAAATTATCACACCATGTTCATCCATCATGCCTGACTTGCACATGGCCGTGCCACACCCCTCCACCATGCCTGGCTTACACCTAGCCATGCCATGCTCTTCTACCATTCGTGGTTTGCACAGCACACACTCACATCCTTGCAGGGCTAATTAGAATGCTAAAGACTGCAGGTGTTTAACATGAACTTACACTGCAAGCATCACCATCTTGGTTAAAACTTCAAAATTTTTATCAAGTTTTGCAAATTGCAAAAGTACACTCAACAACAAAATGAGTTGATAATTTGAAGTATTAGAAATCAGGTGTTATTATTGGGAGCTTTGTAGCTTCTTGACTGAAATGGATTTGCTGCGAGTCCCAAGAGCAGAGGGGGCAGCGGGTCCCGAGAGCAGCCAGTCCTGGCACCCGGAAGCAGGTCTCCAAAGGTGACTGGTCCCCTGGGCGTCCCTGGCGGCTAGACATGTGGGCGGTGGGTGGGCAAAGGACAGACAGATAGGCACACCATGCAGATGGGTTTGCTGCAAGCTACCTGGGTCCCAAAAACAGCCAGTCCCAAGCGGGGACGGCGCACAAGACCACGTGGCAGATCTCCATGTGACTGTGGCCGGCTGGCGAGAGAGATGGATAAACATACCATACAGAGTAAAGTTAGACATTTACTAGGTGGATTATGGAGGGGAAGGAAAAAGGGGAGAAGGGAAGAGAGAGAGAAGGGGAGAGAGAGAGAGAGAGAGAGAGAGAGAGAGAGAGAGAGAGGGGGAGGGAGAGGGAGAGAAGGGGAGAGAGAGAGAGAGAGAGAGAGAGAGAGAGAGAGAGAGGCTGCCTCTCTGAGAGGGTCAGGAAGAGAGAAAGTGCAAGTCTGAGGCTGCAAGCAGGAAGGAAGTGGGCATGGATTGTCTCTTAAAGAGACAAAACAATCTTTACACTGACACACTAACTTGTGGAGTTTTCTTAAAATAATTTTAGAGAGCTCTTTTGTCTGAATAAATATTCTTTTGAGTAATTGAGGGGCACAGCTCCATGACTAGAAAGTATTTTGGGAGATGTCTGTTACCTTGTTCTGCTCCTTTAGAAAAAAATAATTTAAAGATTTTATTTTTATTTGTGTGTATGTGTTTCCTCCATCTTAATCACCGTGTGTGTGTGTGTGTGTGTGTGTGTGTGTGTGTGTGTGTGTGTGGTGGGTATGCATGCCCATGTGCATGCACAAGTGCCTTTGGGAATCAGAAGGTGGTGTCAGATCCTCTGGGCTGGAGTTACACACAGTTGTGAGTTGGCAGACACTGGTATTGGGAACTGAATGGGGGTCCTCTCAAGAAAGAGACAAAGACTCTTAACCTCTGAACCCCCAATGTTCTACTTCTGTTCTTTGTTTTTCTGATTACTTTTTAAAAATATAAAGTTTCTTTCTCCGAAATAGAAACAAACTAGAGTTGTAGCACAACTCTTTGTTTTGCTCTAAGTTATTCTTTCCAGCACTCCGCTCCATGTTTCCAGGAAGCTCCAAAGTGAGCTGCAATTTTCAGTTCCCCCAGTAACATTACATTGATAGTCCCCTCTAATGTGCAGATGAAATACTAAAGCCAGTGAAGTAAAGGCTTCCCGGGTGACACAATAAGGCTGGCTGGGAGCAGAGGTGACCCTTGTCTCCAGTTTCTGGGCTGGCACTGTGTTGCAAGTGGGTGCTGAACTTCACACTTGTTTTGAGTTTTCTGCAAGGCCCCACGTTTTCCTCCACCCGATGAGCCAACTTGTGGGCTTCTCTTCAGTGACCTTACCTACGCTCCAGATGCTAAACTAATGATGTGCTTGGTGCTGTGAGGTACAAGAGGAGGGAGGGTACCTGTTGCAAAGAGCTGGGGCAGCGTTGCTCACTCCCGTTGGAGGCAAGTGCTTCTGCTCTCCTTCGGGCTGGGAAATGCTTCCCATGGCTGCTCTACTTGGAGGACTTTGGTTCTTTGGGCATTAGAAAGAAGGTATAAAATAAACAAGTAGTTTACCTTTTCTAAATCTTCCCTAATCACACCACTACTTCCAGTGAGATTTGGTTATAGTGTATGTAAATAGTGAATCAGTGTTTGTCTCTGTTGGTGAGTAGGAGAAATCTCATTCTCAAACCTCATGATAGGCTAAACGCAGTGGTCAAGGTTGCTGGCTTTGCCATTTTTCAGAAATCTTTCTTGACTAATTGAGGTCTACTTAAGAGTATTTGAAAAAACATGGGGACATAGACATCCTAGAAAAACAAAATGATTATTATGGACCAGTTGCTATTTTTAGCAGCAGCTGCAGCAGCAACAGAACACCATGCTGAGTCAGGGCCCTGATTCACTGTAGGGATCTAGTATCTTTGGTGAGCCAGGCTTGCATCTGAATGCTTGGAGGAGTGGGTTCACATGCTGATATTCTCCTAAGCTCAGGCTTATAAATGAGCTTGGTAAGAATGCACAAGGTAAGCTGGCTGAGCACAGCTCAAAGGTAGGAAGTTGGTTGTGCCTGTAGAGTGTGTGTGTGTGTTGCCTGCATGCATGTCTGCACATCACATATATGCCATGCCTTTGGAGGACATTGGGTCCCCTGGAACTGGAGTTCAAGGCGTTTGTGAGATGCAGTGTGGATGCTGGAAATCTGGAAGAGTTCCTAAATCTCCAGCCCAATGTCTGTACTTCCCTACATTCCAAAAGTTAGTGCATTGTTTTTTCCTCATTGCTAGGACAAAACTCCTGACAAAATCAACTTAAGGAAAGAAAGGTGTGTTTTGATTGACAGTTTAAGGGTAGCCATCATGGCCAAGAAGTTGTGGCGGCAGAAAGGTGAACCATGGGCCACAGACCATCCATCCACTGTCAGGCGGCAGACAGAAGTGAACGCTGGACTTCTGCTTGCCTCCCTTTTTTTTTCAGTGGAGAACTCCATTCATAAGACATGTCAAAGGCTTGTCTTCTAGGTGCTTCTAGACACCGAAGAGATGAAAATCAACATTAATCATCACATTTACCAACCTTTGTCCTCTTCCTAGATCTGTTGGAGTAGAAACTATAGATTTGTTCCAACTTAGAGTTTTCCTAGACTTCGTAAATGTTGATTGATGCTGCTATAAAAGATTCATCCATCAAGGATTATCTATTACCTCAATTTAAGTCTCTAGATCCTTTATGTTTTGCCTTCACAGGCATCCCTTACCTGAATGATGACAAACAAAGATATTGCCCCTGTATTAAAGTTATTTTGCAAACTAGAGGCAGAAACCAGCATCAGAAATTAGTGTTTCTAGTTGTTTTTCTCACCTTTAGAGTATTCAATCCAGACATGATAAGCATATGGAGGGGTTGGAAGGCATTGCCATACTGATCTGTTGGGGCGAGGCATTCAGCCTTTTCATAATCAAGCCCGCTAATGCTTTAGCATTGCATCCTTGAATGCATGCAACATAAGTCTCATATCTACCTACTGCTTTCTTTATTCTGTTTGTTTTTCTTTTGCAGTTGTGGCTTCCTAAGCAGTTTTTGCAGTTTCAAAATTGATATCCTACCATGTTGTGCTATCCATGTTGATTAGTTATGAACACAGTCTCAATGGAGCTTGCTTTCATCTCCTTTTTTTGGACATTTTTCATGACTAGCCTTTGAAGTTACTACCCTGACTAGGAATAATAGTGAGGAATGGGAAATAGAGGAGAACCTGAAAACCCAGTGGTCTGGAAGGCAGTGTTACAACTGGAATTAGGCTCCTTCTTCGGGGTCTTCAATGTGTACAATCGTTTTTATAACAATATCAAGGATGGAGATACACAATTACAAGTACAAGGGTACAAAGCAGTATTTTGCTCTGGGATTTATGCTGTAGGCTTGCATTTAAATTGTAGATATAGAGATGACAGCTATTGGGAGGCTCCTTTTTTAAGAGCAGGAAGAAACAAAGTTGTCAATATTCTGAATAAAAAGCCTGCATCAATTATTTTCCTCCCATTCTGTTTTCTTTTTAATTTCACTTATTAAATGCTAATGCCACAAAGGTGACATTTGGCTTAAGGGACAAGGAGTATTCTTTCTCTTTATGGTAACTCAGTGACCCATTCGTATGTTGTCCTTTTCGTAGAGTCACAGTGCATGTTCACAGGAAGGACCACATGGAGCAACAACATGAGGCCGGGCACAGAATTTAATGAGGAACGCCCGGTGGACAGCCTTGGAAGTGTCAGTGTCGTTGGACTGTAGTGCTCCATTCCTTTGCAACCCCAGAGGAATGTTGCCAGAAGAGAATATTACGTGGAATGAGACCGTCCTATCTTTTGTGACCAATATATATTAAGAAACACATCTCTTCTGCACATACGAAGCGCTATTGTCTTGAAGAAGCAAGCAGCTCTTTACAATAGACCTGAGAACATGAGAATGTCTGTTAGTGGCAGAAGAGGCAAAAGATGGAAATTTTTTCAGCTCTTTGCCACTTGTTTTATATTAAGCTTCATGGTTTTCTGGGGCCCGATCAATAATCACATTGTGAACCATATGAAGTCCTACTCCTACAGATACCTCGTGAACAGATACGGCTTTGTGAATGATTCCCTGTCTCTCAAGCACACCTCCGAGCAACCTCACTACCGATACTTGATCAACCACAAAGAAAAGTGTCAGACTCAAGATGTCCTCCTCTTATTGTTCATAAAGACTGCCCCTGCAAACTATGGCCGACGCTCTGCAATCAGAAAAACATGGGGCAATGAGGATTATGTTCGGTCCCAGCTGAATGCCAACATCAAAATTCTGTTTGCCTTGGGGACTCCTGCTCCACCAAAGAGAGAAGAACTGCAAAGAAAACTGATTTGGGAAGATGAAAAGTACAAGGACATAATTCAGCAAGACTTTGTTGATTCCTTCTACAATCTTACTTTAAAACTGCTCCTTCAGTTCAGCTGGACAAACAGCTTTTGTCCACATGCCAAATTCCTGATGACGGCTGATGACGACATATTTATCCACATGCCAAACCTCATCGGATACCTTCAAGGGCTAGAGCAAATTGGTGTTCGAGACTTTTGGATTGGTCATGTTCATCGTGGCGGCCCTCCTGTTAGGGATAAAAGCAGCAAATACTATGTTCCCTATGAAATGTACCAATGGCCAGCTTACCCTGACTATACAGCTGGGGCTGCCTATGTCATTTCCAGCGATGTGGCTGCCAAAGTCTATGAAGCATCGCAGATGCTGAACTCCAGTCTGTACATAGATGATGTGTTCATGGGCCTGTGTGCCAATAAAGTGGGGATAGTGCCACAGGACCACATGTTTTTTTCTGGGGAAGGTAAGGCTCCTTATCATCCTTGCATCTATGAAAAGATGATGACATCTCATGGACACTTACAAGATCTGCAGGAGCTCTGGATGGAGGCCACAGATCCTAAAGTAAAGAACATCTCAGAAGGATTTTTTGGTCAAATATACTGCAGGTTAATTAAGATAGTTCTCTTCTGCAGATTGATTTACAGGAATCCGTACCCTTGTAGGGCTGCATTTGCTTAACAGCACTTGAATACTCGTATTCTCTGTCATTGAGCTAAACTTGGAGGGGAAAAAAGTCTGCAAACATTTCTCTACACCCTAAGTAAAATGAACTGAAAGCAAAAAGATCATTTAAGATCCCAGGGAATTAAAATATTTCTTTGATTACAGAAACTATTCAATGCAACACCTAATTCATGGCTTAAATTCATTTCAAGGATTTCAGATTCTAAAAGATTTAGATCATGAGCAAAGGAAAAAGTAAAGCAAAATTCAAGTTCTCACTTGGTGCCACCTGTGTCTTTGAGGTATGAAGAGCAATTGCGATGTCTTAGTATCAAAATAATGGTTGTGGGAAATGCCTAACAGATAAATAATGGAGCATTTCTAAGAAATTAATGTCTTTAGAACAAGCATTTCAATTTATTTTTATTAAAAAGTACTTGGCGGAGGTGGACAGATGGTATAGAAGAAAAGTATACCAACGTGAAGAAAGTTTTGTTCTAATAAGGACATAGAGGAAAATGTCTACAGTCTTGTTATGGTTGAATCACTTAACACTGGCATTCCTATAAATATTTATCTAGACAGTTCTGGCACCATTTAAAATATACTTACATAGTTTTCTCTAATTTTTAATATCAAATTTGAGAAAGTCATCAGCTCTGCTCTCACCAGGAAAATCTAAAATTATCAAGCAGGAGTAGTTCTTGCCCATGAGAGCCCTCTCTAAAGAGAAATTGCTGTCAACTCCATTAAGCTGGTTTTGATTTAATGAATGATGCCATGGATTTTAAAGAATTAAATATTGGCCTTTGCTTAAGGTAGTTGTTTGAATACTGCTTACATAGAAGAATATAATAAGGGAAGAGACTTCAAGAAAAGACAGGGCTAGGGCTGTAACTCAATACCCAACAAGAAAAGACAAAGTTGCATAAAAAGACTCTTTTCCTTGTAACTTGTGATGTGTTAGCTTGGAGTCCAAATCACAGCAGTGATTACTAGACTCAGTCCATGACCTACCAGCAAGATCTCATAGGCCACAGATTTTGTTCCAAACTGACTTTTAATTTAAAAGTTTTTAATATGCTACCATGTCTAAATAATCCATTATTTGGCTAAATAACTATCAGTGATGATCTTTTAAGTCTTTCAAACATGGAAGCAGAGCAAGAGTGGTAGAGAAACTAACCAAACGAAGCTAAAAGGTTTGGTAAAGCTGCATATTATTTGTAACCAGCGGTGATTTTACAAAGTAGGATGAAAAATGTGCTGGAATGTCGATGATGCACGAGCACAGAAAGGACTAAGAGACGTCCATGGATGGAGACATGCAATGCAGGCCAAACCAATGACTTCAGCAAAAGCAAATAGCCCGTTTAACAAACTTCAGACAGAGGCACATGTTAGAGAGAAGCTCAGCTATCATTAGGATAGTATTGGAAAAAAAAGTAAAACAAAGCAAAACAAAAAACAAAATCTAAGAATTTCTCAGAAAACACAACTAAATGATACCTGTGTTTTTGCAGGTAGATTTTTTTTTAATGTTTACAGAAATCTTTGTGAGTTTTTCTACTATGATATTTGAAGCTTGTTTACACTGCTTGGGTAATTTCTTACTAACCTCAAGATGTGATGTTAAGCATTCTTAAGATAGTTATTTTTAGGATAGATTCAGGGTTTTAGATTATTACAGTTCAGATTTTTCTGATCCGTTTTTAAAAAAAAAAACTAGGAAACAAAGGTGTTATTTGACAAGCAGTTTCATAGCTAACCAGCACTCACCAGTTGGCCCTTTGATAACTGCTGGCTTTGGGTTTTATGTGCCCGAGTTTCAATTTTGAGCTTTGAAAAGTTGCCACCGATTAGAAAACATAATTTTCTTGTGGCCACTGAGGTGGTCTTGTTTACACTCAGTACTCTATGAAGCAGTTATTTATTTGCTTGATTGAGCTCTCTTGAACAGTGTTCATCCTTTTTATTTTTGCTTAGAATAGAATAGAACCGGTTTGAAGCTAAAGGAATATGAAGGTACTTTGTGTCTTTTGGAATTGTTAGATTATTCCACCAACAGACCCAACGGCCTGAAAAGTGTGTAAATGGAATTATTCTAGCCTTTTAAAAAGGAAGAAAAACCTTGGTGCTGAATTGCAGTGTTGTTTTCAAAATGAAAAATAAAATAGAAAAGGAAAACAAACTACTGGTCCCTTGAGTAAAAGAAAAACATGTCTATATACAGTATTATTGCTTAAAAAAAAACTTCTTAATTCTTGATTGGTTTGCATATATTATTCAGCTATTAGTTTTATACCAAAATGTTCAATATTTATATTGCTTGAGTTTCAATCTTATATGGCAAAATAATTAGGAGGTCTAAAAAGTCTATGCTTTCCAATAAATTACTTAAAAACCATCAACAATGTATTTAGACTCCTGTGTGGGCATCATTTTGTACATAATCACCCTATTTTTGATACTGTCTCCTTTGTTTTCACATTACTGCTCTGCTCAGTTTAGAGAATTTATTATGGAGCTGTAGGAGGAGGCCACTTGTTCGTCAGCCACCCAGAACCAAAATAACCACACAGAAACTATATTAATTAAAACACTGCTTGGCCCATTAGCTCTAGCTTCTTATTGGCTAACTCTTATATTAATTTAACCTATTCCTATTAATCTGTATATCGCCACCTGGCAGTGGCTTACCGGCAAAGATTCGGCATGTCTAACTCTGGCAGCTCCACGGTATCTTCCCTGATTCTGCCTTCTTCACAGCATTCTGTTTTGTTTTCCCCACCTAGCTCTGTTCCCCTACAGCTTTGCTATAGGTCCGAAGCAGTTTCTTTATTCATTAATGGTATCCTGCGTGGGCATCATTTTGTATATAATCACCTTCTTTTTGACACTGTCCTCTTTGTTTTCACATTGCTGCTCTGCTCAGTTGAGAGAATTTATTATGGGACTGCCTATTGAGGTCTGCTTCTGTGCTTCTGGGGAAATGCTATTCCTTAATCATTTATTCAAAATGGCATAAAATAAAGAACACGCAGCTAAGATGCCATTTAAAGAGGTTAGACTTCATTCATTGGCGGAGTAAAAGAAGAGTGTGGAAGTATCTGCATTCCTTGGGTGTAGCAGAATTTTGTACTTGGAAGGTACTCGGGTACACCTGAGATGTCTGTACTTCATCACTTGGAAGAACTAGTTAACTTAAAGTAAATTTTTGCAGTTTACCTGGACATCATAGCTACAATGAGAGTAGGCCCTGTGCTCTCTGGATGTGCTGATTCTCCATTCTTCCAAGAAGGCTTTAGATATGTCTCCCCTGCTATTTCTTCCAGTCAGTTATGTGTCTGTATCAGAACAAAATTTATTAGCTTCCCTCACACTGTTCCTTCGCTCTGCACCTCAAATCCTGCTTCCTCTGGGGAACCTAAACTCTTCCACCTGGCTTTAGAAGCCCCATGGATATATCCCCTGTAAGTTTACTCTGCTTACTGCTGACAGCGTCACAAATTCCTTTCTATCCCTTGATGTTGTTGGGTTCCTTTGTCAAGAGCACTGTCTCTGTTTTATGCATCCGAAGCGGAGTGCTCTAAAAAGCCCTGGTTATAAGAATCTGGAAGAGGTAAGTTTATGTTAATGACCCATACAAGGTCACTGCAGACCTCATGTACTTTCCTCTCCCCCTGCCAGGCCACAGGGAAAGTGTGGCACACCTCCAGTCATTTCTGTCTGTCCCTCTTAACTAATCCCCATTTCCTGTAATAATCCATGTGTCCCTGTACAGGTCATTGTCCAGCACCTGCCTTCTGGACCCACAGTCACACCTGTGACAACTGCTACTAATTGTCCCATTTTTTCCCTTAGCTATAATGTAAATTCTGACATAGAGATTCAGCATATCCATTTACATAGTAATATTATTCTGTCAACATATTCACCTATGTAAAGATTATTCAGATCCCTTCCTGGGTACTTTCTGATGTCAGTATTTGCTTCTAGTACTTAAAAATGTGTACTTTATGCTTATTAATCTTTTATTAATTTTATGAATCGTAATATTTTACACTCAAACATAGTGTGTCTATAAAGTTACGCACCAATAACTTTCTATCAGCTATTTGTCATAATTCAAATCTAGACTATCAAAAGTAAGTAGGAAATTCATATCAAATAATATAGCTAAGACTGGAACACAACGTTATGCAACATTATAACAAAATGCAAAAGCCTTGTAGATTCTTTAATCTCATAATGAATTTGGCTAATTTTGCATTAACAATGTTTCACATGAGCATAAACTTTTCACTAACAGTTTCACATTTTTCCTCTTTCTTATGACAAATATGATTTAATGAACTACTATAAATTATTATGGTACAAAATTAAATTATTGTATGTATATATACTATACAATAATTCATCAACTAACCTAAACACAAGAATCAGGCAGGGTTACTACCGCAGTGATGAAACACCATGGCCAAAGCAACTGGGGAGGAAAAGGTTTACTTGGCCTACACTTCCACAGCACTCTTTATCATTGAAGGAAGTCAGGGCAGAAACTCACTCAAACAGGCCAGGAACCTAGAGGCAAGAGGATGACTCCTGCTTACTGGCTTGTGAATCATGACTTGCTCAGTCTCCTTTCTTAAAGAATCCAGGATCGCCAACCCAGGGATAGCACCACCCTCAATGTCCTGGGCCTTCCCCCATCTATCATTAAGAATATGTTCTACAGTACTGGCTTTGTGGGAGCCTAGCCTGTTTGGATGCTCACCTTCCTAGACCTGAATGGAGGGGGAGGACCTTGGACTTCCCACAGGGCAGGGAACCCTGACTGCTCTTCAGACTGAAGAGGGAGGAGGAGAGGAGTGGGGAGAGGGGGGAGGGGGAGGGAAATGGGAGGCGGGAGGAGGCTGAAACTTTTAATAAAAATAGATAGATAGATAGATAGATAGATAGATAGATAGATAGATAGATAGATGATAGATAGATAGATAGATAGATAGATAGATAGATAGATAGATAAGAATATGTTCTACAGCCTTGCCTACAATAGATGATAGATAGATAGATAGATAGATAGATAGATAGATAGATAGATAGATAGATAAGAATATGTTCTACAGCCTTGCCTACAATCCAGTCTTACGAGGCATTTTCTCTGTTGAGGTTTCTTCCTCTCAAATGACTACAGCTTATATCAAGTTGACATAAAACTATCCAGCATAGCATGTATCTGAAACTATGAAAGTAGGTATGTTTCAAGATAGAAAAATTCTGTAAGGTAAATTCATTTATGGAAACAACAGAATAATAATACATCATTGCCAAGTGGTGCTCTTTGGAGGACATGACATTAACATTTTATGTTCAGAAATTCTCAAATTGGGCTATCCACTGTACCTCAAGGAATATTTTTTTTGCTTGTTTAATTTTTTGCTAGTTTAATTTACTATTTTTATATATGCATGTATGGTCTCTGTTATGTTTATGTGTGTGTGGACGTGTGAGTGTGTTCATGTCTGTGAGTGCTGGCATGCAGCACACATCAGATCAGAGGACTCCCGTAAGTGCTAGTACTCTTGCCTTCCTCAAAACTTGAGAGTGGGTCTTTTGTTCATTACTGCATACGACAGTTCTGGCTCACAAGTTTCTTGAATTTTCCAGTATCTGTCTCTAACTTTGCCTTAGACATTTCAGGAATTAGAGGTGCCCACCACAGCATCCAACATTACATGGGATGTAATATCCATATGTCCTCCTCATATATAGATAGCATATATGAGGATCAGGGATACATTTTACTACAATAGTTGGAAAAACAACACTTTTTTTTTGCTTGAATATAACTGGCAGTGAATGGATATAAAATATTCTATTTTACTAAAGAAACCATCTTTTGGAAGATTGTTAAAATCCAATCATAGACCTTTGTGATAAAATTATCTCAAACATTATATTAGTCCAGGTTCTCTAAAGGAAGTGGATAGAATGAATGTGTGTATATATATATATATATATATATATATATATATATATATACACACACACACACACACACACACATTTCTAAAGAGCTCCTAATCTTCAGTCTATTTAGGAATTCTTAAGAAGTTGGTACTTATACCAGCAAAGGAAACCCTTAAAAATAAGTTCAATGAACTTGCCATGTAATGAAAGCCAAGATTAAAAGGCAAAGTTATATCCATCCATGTCCTTTTCTGTGGGTTGCCACCATGTCTTAGTCACTCTTCTATTGCTCTAAAGAGACACTATGACCACAGCAACTCTTACAAAAGAAAGCATTTATTAGGGCATGGCTTACAGTTTCAAAGATTTAGTTCATTATCCTCGTGGTAGAAAACATGACAGCATGCAGGTAGAAAGGGTAGCTGAGAACTCTACATCCAAATACACAGGCAGTGGGAAGAGAGAAACTCTGAGCCTGTCACAGGTTCTTGAAACCCCAAAGCCCAACCCCAGTGACCTGCTTTCTTCAACAAGGCCACACCACCTAATCCTTTCAAACAAAGATCAAGCATTCAAACCTATGAGCCTATGGGGCCATTCTCATTCAAATCACACACCAGAGGATATGGCCCAGATTTAGGGTTGTATTCTTGGTTCAAATAATCTGATTAAGAAAATACCCCCCTGAGATGGTGTAGGAGAGGTCCTTCTGTCTATGTGTTGCTTTTATTGTTTAATGAATAAAGAACTGCCTTGGCCTATAGCATGGGAGGAGAAAGGAGTAGTTAGAGAGATGCCATGGAGCCACTGATGGAGATAGACATGCTGAAACTTTGCTGGTGATATACAGATTAATAAAAATGGGTTAAATTAATTTAATAAGTAAGAGACAATAAGAAGCTAGACCTAATGGGCCAAGCAGTGATTTAATTAATAGAGTTTCTGTGTAATTATTTCAGGACTGAGCAGCCAGGAATGAACAAGTGGCCTCCTCCAACAAATTGGCACCCTATGTGGGGCACAAAACCATGATCCTGAGATTGAGAGTCTCATGCTCTTCCTACAAATTTGTGCCCAGGTGGCCAACTAAAATCCACTTAAAAACCTGAGAGAGCTTAATTCTAGACACAAAAATACGGAGTTTAACACAGCTTCCTGCTGTTTACTGGCAGAATGCCACAGCTCCGTTAAGAGAGATTTTCCTGACTCAGCGGCAGAAAAAAAAGCTACACCATTTTGAAATGCCGGTTTTCTGGGCCATGCTGCCAGGGCCTCTGGCTCTTCCAAAAGACCGAATATTTAGATGTGGTTTTTGAGCAGCATACTGCAGCTTACTTGATGGCAACTTAGACCAGCTGTGTACCTGGAAGTGGGGCAGTGTACATGGTGCTCAGAGGCAGCGAGCAGC